ATATTGCCGGGGACCCCCTAGGCTGTGACTGATGCTGCTGCACCACGCTGTTCAGGGCTTGTCCCGGTACGAGCCATTCCCTCACAGACGCTGACTGGCCGACGTGACGGCGCTTTTCCCTTCTGTCGAGAGTGTGTCCACCAGCAGACGACATCGCTGTGGCCCTCTCGACAAGCCCTTCTATGCACGAGTTGTGCACACACCAGATGGCAGAACGGGTCAAGAGACGGCCTAAATGACCCTCAGACGGACCGCCAGAGACTGTAACAGGCAGACAGAGAGAGAGAGAGAACGGTAGAGTTGTGCGCGTGTGGGTGGGCGAGGACTTACATAGAGGACGTGTACGTACTCTGGGTTTACACCCTCCATCTGCTCCCCCGAGCCCCCCGGGATGCCGCAAAGTGGACTCGCAATCTCGCTTTTACTCCTCATCTCAACCCACTCCGCGCTCGTTTCCCTCTTTTCAACAAAACAAGCCATTCCCTCCAATTCCACCCGCTGTCACTCGTTCCTATCTCCTCCCCTCCCCCCCAAGTCTCTCCCTCTTCCATCGCCTGTTACTCATCTTCGATCCGCCAAGGTCTCCTCCTTTCCCTTGCTCCTTTCGCGCTCTCCTTCAATGTCATTTACTCGGTGATACCTCTTTTTCTCCCCCCAGCAAAAGAGACTCGAAGGACACACACGACAACAAGAGAAGGGTTTTTCGACACGAAGGCAGCACGCAAAAGAGAAGATCGTAGGCCCGCTGTGCCCGTACATTCTTTAGGACTCTCGCCTTGTTTCCCGGACGCACGACCTAGACACGGTCCTGCCCGCCCCGACACGCTCGCTCGTCAACATCGACCAACACCCCCGATCAACCGAATCAACGTATTCAATCGACCGACAACTGTCTAATCGAACGGGAGGAATATCAATCAGCAAAGAACAGAAATCGAGGACGTCGCCGAGAATTTCGAGTTGGAAAAATCACATCTGGTGGCCGATTGAATCCGCACGAGCCATTTAGCCCCTGACCCGTTCATCGACCCTCGAACCCGCAAGACACGACACACGAACCTGTCACCGTCTTCGAGTCCTGGATCAGATTCGAGACCGCCCTTCATTCAATCTGCTCTTTTTTGTTTTCTTTCTTTCCTTTCCTCACTCTCGCTATACCCCCTCAAATCGTCATTATGAAGTTCTCATCAGCCTTCCTGGCCGCCGTCTCCGTCGGCGTCGCCACCGCCCAGTCATCAACCGCCAGCTCGGTCCTCCAGAGACCAAGTGAGAACCCAACAGTAAACGCCGTCACCTCTCACGGCTGCTACAACGCCAACGGCACATCATGGAAGATCTACCCCGTCGACGTCACGAAGCTCAGTGTAGGAAAGTGCACGGATGAGTGCAAAACGAACCAGAAGAAGAACGTCGCTGCTCTGAACGGAGAGGACTGCTACTGCGGCGACGACTACCCGCCCAAGATCAACGTCGTCAAAGACGAAAAGTGCAACTTTGGATGTCCAGCATACCCGCTGGAAGCTTGTACGTATTTCCATTTGAAGCCGCTCTCACAATCGAAGATCAAGAAGTAAGCTGACACGAGCATCAGGCGGTGGTGTCGAGGACGGCTTGTTCTACTCCGTCTACAACACCGGTATCAAGATCGTCGTCGCCGACGAGGAGCCCGCCACCACATCCGCCTCCTCCACCGCGAAGGCCACCACAACAAACGCCGGCGGTGCTGTCGAGACCATCATCGAGACCCCGACGCCGCCGCCCGCCGAGACCACCGCCTCCGACGACAGCAAGAAGAGCGGCACCAACGTCGCCGGCATCGCTGCGGGCGTTGTCGTCGGTGTTGTCGCCATCGCCGCCATCGTCGGAGGCATCTTCTTCTACGTCCGCCGCAAGCGCAACGCCGAGATCGAGGAGGAGCACCGCCGCAACGCCGCCGTGAACGCCTTCATCGGCGGCTCCAAGCCCCCGAGCAGCAGCGGCATGTCCATGACCGACTCGCGCATGGATCCCACGCTCGCCCACCGCCGCATGAGCGACGGCAGCATCGCCGACAACCAAGATTACTCGCGGAAGATTCTCCGAGTAAGTTTTTCCCCTCTTCACAGTGAAGAATGTGAGACCCGGAGAGCGACGAAAACTGACATGATATGCCTAGGTTACCAACGCATGAGCACCTCACTTCGTGACGACGAACGACCTAGCCACTGGCTTACTAAATTACTTTAACATTCTGGCATCCGTGGCGTTTAGAGGTGTTCCTATTTCTCCGACGCTGGCTTACTCGGGGAACAAATCTTCCGATAAAAAGAACGACCAGTGTCGTCGGAAATTTCATATGTATCATGGTGTAGGGAACATATCTCGGATTTACGATATGGGTTTGCGTTGGATCATCTTCATCGTTTGGACACAAACCGCCGTCGGCACGAAACACCCTACGCCGTCCACTCCTTTTGCGATCACCTTTAGACATTTCTCTCGGATAACTCACACCTACAAATCAAGGGAGGGAGACGACATGGGGAAATACAAAAACGTCTCGGGATGGTTTGGCCCTTTCTCTCCCTCCCCTGATCAAACCTTCGCCAATCAACCCCATCAATCACCCACACACAACAACATCATCATCAACATCTTAACGCACAAACGTCCTGGCCCGCCAATCGCCCCCGCTGGGCACTTTTCGCTTCTTACGATTCCCTCTCTCCGGGGGAGGTATTGGCGCCGGCCGAGATATTTTACAATCTTCTTGCTTTTTAAAAAATCTCATCGGCGGCGGTTGGGGATATCCTTTTTTTTTATAACGACATTTGATGGAAAGAGTTGCGACGGAGTATTGGTGGCGCCCTTACCCCCATCTTGTGTGTATAGTACAACGGCTCCCTCATATTATGGACGTCCGCGGCGGTTCTTTTAACAATGAAATGGTTTACATATACGGTGGTCTTGTTTTTCAATTATTGCCTGACAGTTTTCCTCATTGGTCAAGAGCCGCCGCGCGACGAAGGGACAAAAGAGGGAGCCGGATTTTTTTTGGGACAGTGTTGGGCTAAATAAAAACCCTCTTCTTGGTTAAACGGGCTCTTTTCTCGACGGAAAAGAGAACATGGGGTTCCAAGGGGTTTGGGGGTTTTCTCGTGGTGCTGGAAATCTTTCTGAAAGCGTGGTCGATTGTACTTGAAGGATTTGGACCGTAGTAATCGAACATTCAAATGACCTCATATCTCACTGCACACTTGGCTTTTGGCGAACGACTTCTGACAGCTTTGCGCGTGGGCTCCCAACTCACGTATTCGCATTGACGGGATGATCTTGACAGTGAACAACGGCCGTGAACTGGTGGTTCCTGGGGAAGCCCACCGACAGCCGTTGGGTGGTGGTGGTGTCTAAACCTCCGAGCGCCGGGCCCTCCGAGCACCGAGCCAAACGGGCGGGCACCGAGCTCAGCTCTGTCACTATATCACCGGGGAAGACTGCCTCGAGAAGTTCAAAGTCACCTGACCAGACGACGAACGGGCTGAGCCTTTTTCTCTCTCGCGTGTCTTCCAAGGTTGCCCGAGTCAAAATTTCTCCGCTGGTGTTCGCCAGCCCCCAAGCGGCGAGAGAAACTGCGCCGCCTGCCCACCGACTGGGCCACTGAAGGGCGGACCGAAGGGACCCAGATCTGGGAGTGAATTAACCTTGCTAATTAACGCTGTCTGCTGCCCACGGCCCTGCCCCGTTGCGTGCGCCTATCTGTTCTCTGCCCGGTTTTTGGGTTGCTTTGGAAGAAAGGCCTCCCAGCACGTGGAGACAAGACAGAGTCAAGAGGAGGAGGGAGAGGGTGATTGGGCGCGGCAGAGGGACAGAAGGACAGAGGGCCAGCGTTTGTTAGGCGCAAGACTTGGGTGGTTCTCAGCTGGTGGGTGCGCTGGGGAAGTTATTATGGGGTGGGTTGTGTCATGTTAAGGACCCCTGACGATCGTTTTTCGGCGGTGGTTTTTTTTTTTTTTTTTTTTTTTTCCTTTCTGTGTGGTTGCTGCGCAGGCCGCGCTAAGAGGGAAGACGGATGTACGTGGGTGTCAGTGTGTGTGTGGTGGTCGGCTGACCAACCGGTCGGCGCTTGGACTGGTCTTCATTGGTTTCGGCGTTGCTCAAGGCGATACGGAGCACGATGGAGATCTTCTTTCTTTCAGTCGACGAGTGGTTTTGGAGGGGGTTGGTTTTGAGTGTGATGTGTTGGATCCTTACTTGCTGCGTTGTTAGGTGTGCTGTGTTATGAATGGGGGGTCTTCTTTGTGACTTGGCATATGGAGGGGCGGACCCTGATCCTCTGGCTTGATTTATCCCACTTGGGCCCCCCGTCCGCCCCCGACGCCCCCGTTTGCCGGCTTGGCCTGACGACATTTGACGGCAACCCGGACACACGTGAGTTTGGTACAGGTCATTGGAGGTTATATTTGACCTACGGCGGTATATGATGAGCTTGGAGGCCTTTTGGGGGCTGGGAGGTGTTTCATCAAGGGAGTCCCCGAGGGGATAATATTTACCGTGATTTACTGGTGTCCACGGGAGCCCTACCGTAATTCGGGTTCGGGGATTGGGTTGTGGAGTTTCTGTGGGCATTTTGATGTTTGCTGCCTTACGGGAATTTGGGTCCTATTCTCCGGTCTGATTACGGTTTGCTGGGTCTTGTTTTGATGGCCTGATAACAGAAAGACGAATGGGGGAACCCTTTGGGTCGATGGTCCTGGCGGGCGGGCGTGTCGTTCGGCGCCGAGACGGTGGTCGGGCTTGGGAAGATGTATGAGGATCTTGGAGGTCGGGTTTGAGGGTGTTGTATTTTGACGAGCGGGATGACGTCGGGATCGCTGGGGGATGAAACGAGGATCGGCTGTTGGATTTCTCTGGGTGCGGCGGGGACTCTGGAGACGAGGGCACGAGGTCTTAGAGACTGATCATGAACAGATCTATCTTCAGCCAGTGATGTGAGATACTCAAATAACGCGCTTCAGAAAAAACTACCACTTCTTCCTCTCCAGTCGCTTGGACCATCTCGGTTTCCGCTCGCCATCAGGTTCCGGTAACACGGCTTTTCTCTTTCGGAACGGCATGTCGTGGCTCTGAGAAGAGGTCGCCCCGTCACTCTCATGATCGGAAGCCTCTTCAACCTCCTCAACAGCACTAGACCATGTTGACAGTGAAATAGTGATCACAAGTTCATTCACCACCGCCTCTACCTTCGTATTATTGTCACCCTCTTCTGGTGAGCAGTTGCATTTGAACAAAACGCTCGCTTTTCGCCCGTACAAATGACTCGACTTCATAGTGCTGTATTCTTTGGACAACTCTTTCAGACCCATCCTGGCGTATCTCAAGATGCCTTCCTCCCTAGGGTCTCCAACTATCCCCCAATGACTGTCTGCCGGATCATCATAGAAGAATCTCACGTCCATGTCTTTGTTGACCAACTTATTGATCACCAACGCTAAACGTAGTGGTTTCAAATCCACCGGGCTTATATAAAGCAGGCCACAAAAGTCGTCGGAGAGGGCGTCGCCGCAGAAGTTGAATGTGCAGCGGTTCCATGCGGTTCCGGGCCATGCGGCCAAATGTGATGTCTTGAATCCCTTCCGAATTTCAATCGGCTTTGACGCGAAGCCTTCAAGAGCCTCACTGTCTTCCGGATCTACCACCCTGCGACAATAGGCACCTTCTGGATTTGTTTGACAACTTGACCGGTCTTGTAGTCGACAACAGCTCTCTGATGATATGCGCACAAATCCCTCTTTAGTGCTCAGAAGGGATATGAAAATTTCGTGAGGTATGTCACAAGTAAGACACTCCATATGAAGTGGTATCTGGACGCACTCGCTTCGAGGGGTTGTAAAAATATCAACATTCAATCTTATCCCTTTATTCTCGAGTCCTGTGCCAGGCCTTAAGGCGAACACTTCGCGACTGATGTGGCCAGAAGACGCAAATTGTTGGGGAGACGTGGCGAAAAGTCCCCTAAAGCTTTGGGTTGGCAGGGGTGGTCTGAAAGGAGCCAGCCAGGCGAATATCGACGTGTCTAAATGCAGGCTCGCGATATTTTCCTGTAGTCGTTGGAATGCTTTCTCGCCCTCGCCGTACAGCATCGGCATGTTGATATCAAAAACACCAAGGAGGCAATATGCGATATCTTCTGGCCGGGTGGTCTCTCGATTCGCTGCCCAAGACATCTTGACTGCGACCAGAACGTCCTTAAGTCGTTTAACCATCTTCAACACGTCAACGTCTATTGTTGTGATAGTGGCCAAAGTTGACACGTTGTTCTCCTTGGTGAACCTGAAGTTCCAGTTGGCGTCGTAAAATCTGATATTAGCTGGGGCTATGAGCTCTTGTAAGGTCCAGCCACGACTGAACCATTTGCAAGAGGCCATCTCTGAAATGTCGTAAAGCTTCTTGCTATGCGACATTATCTTAGATGCCGAAGATAATGGCGCAAGATCATCCAACCAAACGAAACATATAGCTGAGGTTCGGTACCACACAAACATGGCATTGATGGCTTCACTCAATTCGGCACTGCTGGTTTTGTCGATGCAGCAAGTGTCGATCCAGGCGTACCGCAGGTCTTGTTTCAATGCCAGCTTGCAGGTTTTGGCGATTTTGACGAAGCCGGTCCTTTTCATCGCCTTTGGAAGACGCTTCATATCCTTGAATGACACTTCGTCGTCGCCCCACGTGTGCGAGAGGATGGCATAATCGACCGACGACGGATCCACAATCTGCTCGAGACGCAGTGTCTTGGTGTTGATGAGCCACATCTTGTCGCCAAGAACGAGGTACGGAAGGTCAAGGACGGGGGATCGAGATGGAGGAAGGGTGAGAATGGAGAAAGAGTGAGAGGAAGAACAGCTGAGGGTTTGCTTTGAGGAGCATTCCGCCCAAGGCTTGACGTCGTCAGATTCTGGAGAAGAGGTTGAAGAAGGGAAAATGACATTCGCAGCCTGATTTCCAGGCGGCTACTGTCACGCGCTTAGCATCCTGCTGAGACAGCTGCCTCGAGGACGGCTGCGCCAGCCGTGAGCATGCCGATTCCGCCAATCATCTGCGGCTACCAAGCACCTGCTGCCAATCTTGCAGCAATTGCTGATGTGGCCAACACATTGTGGCGTCCATATTTGGAATATAAATTTCGGCATTTCCGTCAGACAGCCAGTCACGTGGGCCATAGCCCTTACCTTGTCTAGGCACCGTCTTGAGTTCCCAAAGATGCATATGGAATACTCCATTTAGAGCAGCATTGTTACTGGCATTCGTTGCGTCTGTCTTACGCTCAGTCTACATCAGGCGCTTCCAGCTTCGAGTGGATGTCACTCTCCGCGCATTCCGCGCGGTGCTTCCTCCAATCCTTCTTCTGACACTCCCCACTGCAGTACTTGACCTGCAAGCAGCGCGTACACTTCTTCAACTTTGTACCGCTCTCAGCCCCCGACTTGCCACAGGCTCTGCACCTCTCCACCTGCTGCTGTCTGCCGCCTCCACTCCTTCCCCAGGTCTCAAAGTCGACGCAGTCATCCACGAACGGGACCGCGAAAGTCGGGCTGATGGCAATGCGCGTGGCATACTTTGACGCGGTATCCCACTCGGGAAGCGCAACGAAGTTGTCCGGCAGTTTTCCCTGACCGCACGAGCAGAGTACCTGCTTCCCCGTCTCCGTCGATACGGGCACCTTGCCCGTCTTGCGGTACTCGCACGACGACTTGTGGTCCCAGGTGCGGGTGCGCTCTGCAAGCGAGGGGAGCACCTTGCGCCAGAGGGTGAGCTCCGCGTCGTCGACGCTAATTTGGGCGCATTCGAGCTCGCGGAGCATGAGAAGGAAGGGCTCGAGCTCGTGGATCATTTTCTCGGTGAAAGGGATCACAGCGGCATCGAGAACGACGGAGCCGGAGGCAGGATCGAGACGGACGGCGGAGACGAGGATGAGCATGTGAACGCCGGTGTCATCCGAGGCGTGGCTCAGGCACATCAGACCAGTCTGCCCTCCCTGTAAGCCCGAGGCGAGCATGAACATGGTGAACACGGATTCTTTGAAGTTGAGGCGAGTGGATCGGGAGATGCCATTGCCGCGGCCTGCTTGGGCTTGCTCGCGGACTTTTTTCTCGCCGAGGGAGAAATGACAGGCAATCATGTTGACCATGAAGCGGTTTGCGGCCTTGTTAGTTATATCGATGATGGGAAGGCGGTCGAGGTTGAAGTGCGGGGTGTTGAAGTCCACCGGAGTGTGTGATAAGCTCTTTGCGAGGGTAGTGGGGAAGGTGAAGTCCACAAGAGGGCTGTCGACGCCTCCGCCTGTGGCAGGGGCAGCAATGGGCGCGATGATTTCGAAGTAAGATGACTTGCGGGCGATTCGGATCTTTGCTTTGCCTTCGCTTGCGTCAACGGGTATTGGAAAGGTGATGGGGTAGATGTGCTGCTTCTTGTCAAAGACAACGTTAACAGTAAACGGAGTCACTTGCTCAGTCTCGATGGGAACTTTATCGGTGAGTAGCTTCTTGCCCTTGGCGGAGAGGAAATCGAGATGGCCAGTGATAGTTGCTATCTTGTCTTGCTCTGCTGTCATGTTGGCGGTAAAAACGGCTTGAGTCTCTCCCTTCGCCTCTGTGGCAGACTCCGCGACGGCACCGGCGGCCTCGCAAGTCGCGGGGTATCGGGTCTGACTAGGCAGATACTCTGTGATGAATACGCTGGATTCATCTGCCAGCTTGCTTTCGTGAACCTTCAAATCTTGGCCAAGTGTTTTCTGGTAGACTGCAATGTTCTGGGCAGAGCTTTGAACCTCGAGACGTACGAAAGCCGTCTTGCGCTCGACTTGAAGCGCGGAAGATGGGACGTAGAATGACGCGATGAGAGGTGAGTTACCGGCCCATCCGGCGGGATCAGGCTCAACTGTGACGGAGAACGTATTGGAGGATTCTCGGTCGCCACTAGGCTTGACGGTGCCCCAGACGAGCTGCACATCATCGAAGAAGTTGTGCCACTTGTGGTCGGCATCCTTGCCGGATACCAGGGAACCTCTGACGGTGGGGGACGCGATCTCCGCCTGGTGCGAGCCAGTAAACATGCGTTTGATCGCATTGTTCGGGACCACAAGGGTTACGGCGACAACCTCTGGGATCGATTCCCAGGAATCGAAACCGCCGAGGTTGCGGTTTGGCTTAATTTCTCTCTGAAGCCAAGGTTCAGAAAACAGCCCCTGGGTGTGCATCTGCAGCGAAAAGTCTTGCCGCAAGTTGCCAGTGAACATGAGGCTTCTTTCGAAAGAGTACTTCTCCAAGAAGAGGTTAACTGTGCGATCAAAGTCGGAAACAGATAATCTTAGCTTGAGGTAGCGCATGAGGGACACCAAAGTCCCTCGGTGGAAGTTTGTGTAGGCTGTATTGCGAATGAGCTGAGCCATCGATGCCTTCGATATGGAAAGAAGCTTCATCGGGTTTTCATGGGCAAAGATCTCGAGGTAAAGCTTAAAGAGCACGCCTGCAAGGACCTCAGGGTCAACCTGAAGTGGCCCGGTGGTGTCAACTCCGGAAAAGAACCTGCTCTGCTTCCAGTTTATGCGAGTGTGTAGCTGAGTTTGGACGTCCTTCTTGTCTTGCAATGTGCCGGCCATGAAACTGATTAACATCTCGTCGACCCATGACACAGCGGTTGTGTTGGTCCAGTATTCCACTGCGCTGGCACCAAGAAGCAAAGACACAGTGGGCCCGTGGCCGTAGAGAACTCTGTCGAATCCTTCCTTGCTTGTGTCCTCTCTCTTCAGCAGAGTTTCCGTGAACACAGAAGACCATGGCTGAGGGGTAAGCAACGGAAGCGCGGACGTGAGGAGGTTGATCGTGCCGACGTGGTCTGCGAGGTTGGATGTATCGATGGCATCAAAAGAGGAGGGCGCGGCTAGCTTGCCTCCGTAAGCATCGGGATCCAGACAAAAGGGCCTTGAGTCAAACTGCCTGCGATACCAACCAGCTGAAGTTTCCTTTGTGGAAACAAAATGCTGAAGAGTCTGGCAGAAAGCAAGAGCCTCGCTCGCGACGAAGCGGATCACAAGCTTTTTCTCGCGTAGGAGTTTGCCGCAAGCAGTGCCCCATTCGCGAAACTGGGTTTTGGCTGCTGCGAATGCCATCAATGGTCCATCCTTCGGATCGGGTTTCAAGGGAGACGCGTCGGTGAGGGCTGCGAAACCGGTCGCAAGGTGAAACCCGAGGATTGGGTCGGCGCCGTGGTGCAGGACTCTGTGGTTTGATAAGGGGGCGATGAACAGAGGATTAGGAATGTCACCGGACCAGCTGTGATTTGGTTTTGAGGTGTCAAAGTAGGCATCGGTCGCGTTGGTGATGGCTTCGAAGTTTCCCGTCGAGAGAGGGGCAGCAGATCGCATGCCGGTTAAGCTTTGTCCTTCGCCGCCCATGACGACCTTTCTAATTTCTAAAGATCGTTTGATGGCAGATTTGAGGGCAGCCTCCTGTCCAGCTCGATCGTCTGCAGAGGCAGTGTCAAAGCATGTTTTCCAGATTGCGCGGATGTCATCAAAGGTAGCCTCATCGACGAAGGGGAGGACCTTGCCATAGGAGCTAGCCTTCCAAGAGTTGAATGATTCGGATGCAGCAAGTAGTTTCTCGAGCTGATTCGAGAGAAGCTGAGTATCGGCCTTGGAGATGCGTAGGTCGTAGAAGAGATTCCAGGCTGTGTTGCCGGCGGCGGCGTTATCGAGGAGCAATGAGAAGAGCAAGACATCGCGAGCTTCGAGACGGTCAGTTGCGGCAGAAAGGGACATCGGAAAAAGTCACATACCAAGAGTTGCCTCATCCCAATCGTTGCATGTCACGTCGAATTTACGACTCGCTATGAGGAGGTCAGTCGCTAATCCGTGAATGCATGTCACATGTGGGTATCGCCGCACGCAGTCCAACCTCGTTGTACGCAGTGTGCAAGATGTTTCTCACATCTCCGCAGCCCAGAAGAAGTAAATTGGCATCAATTCCTTGGGGCAGACCTCTAGCCAAGTTGACGGCAGGAGTGTTGCCTACAGGGTAAAAGAAAGAGATTGAATTGGCGACCGTTGGGGTGAGCATCTTGGCGGCGGCAACGTATTTACGACAAAAAGCCGAAGCTTGTCACGAGTAGACAGAGCGTTCAATCAAGTACTTATTGGCTGTCAGTATAAAGATTCGTAGCCGAGGAGGGGTAACATACGGTCGAGCGAAAACTGGATGAAATAGCCTTGTCCAAATTTGAAGCCGGCGACTGCTCATCGAACGAGGCAACGAGGGGTGAACGTTGCAGTGAGGGGCAGATTCCACCAACTACCTGAGGTAGGGGACCTATCCAGGAGCTGACGTCTTAAGTAGGCAGGCCAGTCAAGGCTCGCGACCAGAAACAAACAAGCAAAAGCCCTTGAGGTCAAGAGAAGGAAGAGGATCACCGATCTGGCGAGTAATGCAGGCTGTCGACTCCCGTCCAAGCCGATCAAGGAAATGTGACGATCGTGTGTAGTAGCTGCTAGAGCTCCCTTCGACAGCTGCTCGCGGGGCATTTTCCTGAGGATGCCGTGAGTGGCGGCAGCTGGCAAAGGCTTATCAGCCACACGATCCAGAGCACGCCGCCTGGACTGGACGTGGCAGAAAAAGCTCAGTGGGTCGTCAGCCACAGCAGCTGCACCTGCCGGCTGCGATGCTTTTCGCGACTGTTGTCGCGTTTTTGCTAGACATCCGGCATCATTTATTGGCAAAACAACCCACCACTGCGTCAGACCCTGCTACGAGCTCTT